TAATCAAAGGAGAAGCGACTTTAGTACCAAAGGAGCTCAATAAAAGTGGAGACTTCTTTTCTGCACCCTCGCACCTACAACTGAGCCAGGCACATAGGGGCCCACTGGCAAACGTCCCTTGAATAATAAATGAACGATGGCTTCCTTCCTTCGTTCAAGATGCTACAAGGGATGCACACAGCCAAGTACGAGGCAGTGCCTACTACTGCAACATCTAGAAACTAAGAATCTAAAACGACAAAAATGCAAAGGGGCCTAAAACAGGGCACCAGAGGGGAAACGTCAAGGAAGTGAGCAGCGCACCCAGGTGAGGGGAGATACAGAGAAGGTCTACGTAGGAACTGACCTGAGCTGAGTTCTAAGAGGTGGAAACAGTCTTTAAAAAAAAAAAAAAATCCTAACCTGAGGATACTTTTTCCATTGCTTTTCAGACAGAGTGGAAGGGAGAAAGACACATGGATGGGTTGCCTCCCGCACACGCCCCAACAGGGAGTGGAGGGGGGGCAGGGGTCGAGCCTGCAACCGAGGTGCATGCCCTGGGCCAGAAGCAAACCCAGGACCCTTCAGTGGGCGGGTCCGGGCTCTGACCACTGGGCCAGACCGGCTGGGGTGCAGGGGGGGGAACACTGGCAGCTCCTGACGGCTGCGGGGCGGGCGACGGAAGGCAGAGGGAGCTGGATGCAACAATGTAGCCCAGGATGCGCCCGAAGAGCAACAATGTTTCAGTTGAAGGGAAGGTCTGTGAGGTGCCGTCGGCCACAGCAGGCCGGGAGGTCCGCGCTGAATTCTCAACGGGAAACGCCTGGAGCCTTCGGAGCCGGGCAGCTGAAACCACCCGCGCAGCGGCGGAGCGCTGCGGTAAGGGCTGGGGAACATCCTGAGGCGCTACCAGTGTGACCTGGGACGAAACACCCATTCCCCGGCCTGGGCCCTCGGTTTCGGCTGCGGTAAGGGGGTGCGTCCGGCGAGCGGTCAGCTCAGGCCGAACCCCCGAGTGAGGCCTCCACAGGCACCGTGTCTTCTAATTGCGGTGACAGCCCGGGGAGCGGGCAGGGTTCCTGCCTCCGCTTTAAAGGGAAGGAGTGACCGTGGAATACTACGCAGCTGTAAAGAAGGACCTCGTACCCTTTGGGACAGTATGGATGGACCTTGAGAATATTATGCTATGTGAAATAAGCCAGGCAGAGAAAGACAAACATCACATGATCTCGCTTATACGTGGAATCTAAAGAACTTAATAATCTGGTGAACAGAATAGATTCAATGACATGGAAGCATAGATGAGGCTGACGAATGTGAGAGGGAGGGGGGAGGGCGGGTGGAGGGGGAGAGAGTAACCAAAGAATTTATGTGCATATATGCACAACTCAAGGACACGGACAACGGTGGGGAGAGGGACTGGGGAGGGCGTGGGACGGGTCATTGGGGAGAAAAAGGGACATCTGTAATATTTTAACAAAAATAAAATTTAAAAAAAAAAAGGAAGGAGTGAGGCGCTGAGAACAAGGACCCCTAGTGGGTCTGGGCTGGGAGGCTTCAAAGGGCGCGTGGTGCTCCGGCGGCTACCGACCCGGAGGCTGGAGAGTGACCCGTGAGGAGGCGGAGGAGCCAAGTCACCGAGAGAAAAAGGTGCTGCTCGGGCTCCGACGCCTCACGGGGACTTCGCGACGCCTTCCGGGGCCGCCGCCTCGCCGAGTGACCTTGGGCAAGTCACGCCCCTCCTCTGGGAACGCGCGCCCCGCTCCCAGGCCCGCGGCGGCCCAGCGCGGTGGCGCTGCAAG